AATATATTTAGTGTACTTGTCTTTGTGAATAATATATTTAGTGTACTTGTCTTTGTGAATAATAATACATCAGATAATTTTCTCACATTCATACATAGTATCAGATTAGGGTTAGGGTCAATCGTAGGTTTGGCTCATCGCTTGTCTCCAGCCATCACTGACTCTCACAACCCTTGCCATCCTCTCCAGCATCTTGAGGAGAGTCGTCGTCGGAAATTTCAGCATGTTCATCGCCACGTACGAGGCTCACGTGCCACCTCTTCGTCGAGGCGCTACGATGGTGCGTGTGGGCCACCTCCAGCTCTGTTCGCCGTCGTTTTTCAGCCCTCGACTCATGTCATCGTTGGCTACATTCTGGTTTGATCGGTTTTGATATCTGTGACCTTTTTAATTCCTGCATGTACTGATATTTTGACAATTCGTTATCCAGTGTGTACTTTGATTTCATCTGTTTCGTGATACTGTGTTGATCTGTTTATGGATCGTTTGGATATGCATTCTCATATTAGTGTTGTCTTATCAGGAGATAAATATAGTCTTTGGGCACAATCTTATTAGTTTATGGCTGCTCTAAGAACCACTCATCATTCTGCAGTTTTGCACATCCTTCCTCATGTGAAGGGCACTCTACTGCATGGTTTACACTTCTCGGACCGTTCTTCCTTGACACTTAGCTGCTATTCTAATGTAGATTGGGCTGGTGATCCTACTGATCGTCGCTCCCCTACTGGGTATTGCTTCTTTTTGGGTGACTCACTCGTCTCTGGGCATAGTAAGAAGCAAACCTTGGTTTCCAGATCGAATGATGAGTCTGAGTATCGTTCTTTAGTTGATTCCACTGTAGAGTTATTGTGGTTGCATCGACTACTTGCTGATCTCGGTATCTCAATCGTCATCTACTGCTCTACATTGTGATAGTCAGAGTGCTATAAAATGTCTCATATTGATACATTTCATGAGTGCACCAAGCATATTGAGATTGAATGTCACTTCATTCGACAACATATTGCACATGGAACTGTGTAACTTGTTTCAGTCTCCTCTATGGATCAAACCACAGATGTCTTCATGAAGTCTCTCCTTCGTTGCCGCTTTTGTTTACTTCTTAGCGAACTCAAGTTGATCTCCACTATACTACCTCGAGTTTGAAAGGGAGAGGTGGAAGGGGATGTTAGTTATATAAAGTGTGTTGTTGTATTGTAGGCTATGTTTAGGCCCAACGTAAAGTTAAGACTCATCTATGTATTTATATATAGTATATTTGTCTTTGTGATAATATTTCAGATAATTTTTTCACATTCTTACAACTACCTTCATCTTCATATTATTGGATTTATCACATGTGTCAAAGAATAGGATATGTGATTTGATATTTTCTTTTGAAATTATTCTTTGGTACTTAAATTTTTCCTTAGATTAGTTAACATGAGGTTGTCGGTACATAAAGATGAATAATGTTATCTGAACACAATCCTTGACCAATTGGTGACAAAATTACATGAAAAATAATTAGAAAAAATAAATGAAACAAAATATAGTGGTTCCTATGTAAAATTCGACAAAAGAAAACAATTTCCAAAAAAATAGAAAGGAACATTTTTATTTATGGCCCATTGCTTATGTCACGAAATAATACTCAGCATCCCTATATATTCGTGCTTGTGTTTTTATTCTTCCTTTATTATACTAGTACGTACCCGTGTACGAGACATAGATATTAATGGGTTATTTTCACAGACTTATCAATTTAAGTCGTTATCATCTATTTTTTACCTATTTAAATTACTGTTAAGTCCAAAAAATAATAGGGTTATAATTTTTTTCCACCTCTTTTAATTATCGTTGTTTTTTAGCCAGAAAATTAAATATAAGAATGTTAGGGCTAACTTGTAAAATAACTAGTATATAATCTCACTAATACATTTATACTAATATAAATTTAATTTTAAAATATATTTTTATTCCTTAATATAAGAGAAAATAATAGTTTTGCTTATTCTTGTTCACCATATAATACTTAATTATTATTTTATTATAAACTTTGTTGTCATATAATGTCATTATTATTTGTAAAAGTACGTCTTCTTTTATGTACGTTAATATTATTTATTTAAGTAATCAATTTAAAATATGTAAATAAATTTAAAATTGAATAGTGTAAAAATATTTTACAAAATATACACACATGTTTTTTTAGTATTTAATTTTGTATACTAATTAAACAACTTTGATTTAGCAAATGCAAAAAACTCAATCCCTTCTATAATCAAGATTTTTCTAATTTGCATTACAAGGAATTATAGTTTATTTAGCATATTCTGCAATGAAAATATATTTTACAAGAATTTCATT